CTCTCTCTCTCTCTCTCTCTCTCTCTCTCTCTCTCTTTCTCTCTCTCTCTCTCTTTAAGAAAATCAGTAACTTTTGGTGTGCAGAGTGACTCATTTGTAGAAGTACCCATCTTTGCAGAAGGCGAGAAGATGTTAGAGAAAACTTTTGGTGTTCTTGCAGTATCTCACTAGAAGTACGTATCATCTCTTTACTTACAGAACTTTGACTATGTGACTTCAATCACATTTTGGAATTGTATGAGGAGAACATCCCTCTTCTGGGGACTTCTATTAGGTATATGTGCACTTGCATCAGACTACTTTTAAAAAACAAAAGTAGAAAATTGCTTTAGTGAACTGACATTAATTATTATCTCTGGGAATCCACAGCCAATTACAGCTACAATAATCCATGGGTCATATAATTCGAATGACTGTAATGGCCCTGATGTTCACTGAGGACACAATACTCCTCTGCCTCTCGTAGGTTGGTGCTGTGATTTTTTGTTTATAACAACATAAATAGGTACACTCCCAATTGTTTGGAGAGACAGTTGTGAAACACTGTTTATTTTTTTGGCAGCATCCATCTATAAAGTATATTTAATCTCTTTAAATAAGAAATAAGAATTTCTTAAATGCACAGTGAATGAATGGTTAAAGATATCAAACTCTTGACAAAAATCATAGCATTTATGTCTTACTACTATTTTTTCATGCTTTTTACCTTAAATCAAATGGGTTTCTGGCACACCTCTCTTTGGAGTTTCCATGGAGCTTAAATTTTAGCCAACAAATTTATTAAACACCTAAATATAACCTACTCTATCCAAAGTCTTTGAGTAAAAGTTCACTTTGAAATATTCACCCCAGAATAGTTGGTTTTCCTAATTCTTTGAACACTTTGAGAATCCATTCTTATGAAAATCCTCACAAATATTTCTCATGTAGATAAGTCTTGCCATTGTGTTGTGATGTCTTTTTGAGTATGTTTGCTCTGAGATTTCAAATTAGCTCTGGCCCAGGTTCTGGGTTTGGAGACAATAACATGGGATAAATAGGGAGTTGGATGGAAATTATCTTCTCAGACTGAAGTAATCTCCTCAATTGCTAATGTTGCTAATGCAAGACTAGGAATGATACATTAGTAAGTTTCCTAATATTAGCCAGATAAATTTCTTTTCCTGCTTACATTAGTAAAAAATCATGAATGTTGCTTTCATTCAAGGACCATGTGAGCTAAGTTATTGGAAGGTTAAGGCAGTGAACAGGAAAGAATTGGAACCTGACCAATGAGATGGTATGAATGGGAGAGTTCAGAGCATCTGGAGGAGCCAGCTACTGGATCTTACCTTTCTTACACCGCACAGTAGGAGTTGCAGCACTACTTGCTTCTTCAGTGTTCATCTTTCCACACCCCAGTGTTCATCTTTCCACACCCCACCCGAGATTCACCTGGAAGGCGTGGTTTGCATTTGGTTGACACTGGGACATGTGATTTCATTTTTACGCTAGTGAGCTTAGCAAGGGGGGGGGGCTCCAGGCAGCACAAAATAATGCAAAAGTAGGGAGCAGCAAGGAAGATTGGTGGGCAAAAAGTGAAAGGTGACCCTTTTATGTGTATCCAGAGAGTTTTATGACAAGTCAATACAATATATTATTTTCTCCATCTCCCATACTCAAGAAAAGATGGGCAATAATAACTACCCTGTAATATTGCCTTTGTTTAAATAATGCAAATGAGTTATTATTTAAAGTTTGAATATTTAGCTTAGGTTAATTTATCTCTTACTTCTTCACCTTTTAAAAATAATTTCAGCTTTTCAAAAATTTCTGCACTCAAAACAATTTCCTCAATATAAAAATGAAATAAATATCCCTCAACATTAAACATTTTACTCCTTGACATCAGAACAAAATACATGCCTTACTGTTGAAAATTTGAAAACACCATTAGTAAATATATCATTATGATGCTTTGTGGTTTTATAGAATTTTCTGTGTTAGCCACTTGAAGAGTAATTATTGCTTCAGAGGTGCAGTACATTGTAGAAACTTGTTTAGAGATTTTTGAAAATTGTTTTCTTTCTTTCTTTCCTTTCCACATTTTATATTGGTACATTATAGTTGCACATAATGACAGGATTTGTTGTTACATATTGCTACATGCACACAATATAACAATACAATTGGACTAATATCACTCCTTTACCCCCTTGAAATTTGATTTTCAAATTTTCTTCTCATTGAGAGTTGTTTCTGGTTTATTTCTGGTGATTTTCTTTTGACTACCTTTTTGTAAGTATAGTAATTTTCTATGTTATCTGTCTGTGCTGAGAATTGTGCATCGCAATTATGTTGGGTTCCAATTAATTCACCTGAGCATATTTTAAAAATTGCTGATAAACCAAGTCAATTGAATCATATTATTTAATATTCCAACTATCATCTTAATATTTAAAACAAAAATCTTCCCAGGAAATTTTAATATATAGCTATGATCAATGTTCACTAGTATAAATATTACTAAATTCAAAATGATCTCTATCCTTCTGTGATACAGTCATGTCCATTGATTTAAAAAAAATAAAAACAAACAAACCAAGAAAAACTTACAAATAATACTGTTAACTAAGAGGAATCAGACTAGGTGGAAAGTCCAAATATACACTCTGTAGAATGAGCACATTCCTGGTGTAAATGTTTACAATTTACCAAAAAATAAATAAACAAATAAACTCAGTGTGCCTCTCCCTCTTATGCACAGCCAGCCAAGGATAGGCGCCACCTCTCCTCACAAACTGACGGCCTCAAAGACACAATGTCCATTCCATTCTTTGACAGTTTCCTTCCAGGTAGCAGTGGTCATAAGCTGGAGAGATACCATAACAGGCAAGTATGGAGTATGTAAGAACAGCATGTATCAAGTGTATCCTGTGGCTTAATTTTAAGATTTTTTTTTTCTGCAAAGGTTTTAGGTTCTTGAAACACTGTAGGTTCAATAAGGCTTTTTGCCATCCTTTTTTGAGCTTAGTTGAACCAAATA